TGCTGAGCATCATTCATTTGCTTATTGGTCATTTATACATCTTTGGCAAGATGTCTATTCAAGTCCTGCCCTTTTTTTTTTTTTTTTTAAAGATGACCGGTAAGGGGATCTTAACCCTTGACTTGGTGTTGTCAGCACCACGCTCAGCCAGTGAGCGAACCGGCCATCCCTATGTGGGATCCGAACCCGGGGCCTTGGTGTTATCAGCACCGCACTCTCCCGAGTGAGCCACAGGGCCGGCCCCTCCTGTCCTTTTTCCACACACTTGCCCTTCTAGGTAATTCTAAATATCTTAGCAATCTCTGTCATCCCTTGCAAGGGGAGGAGGAAGCTGAGGGCAGGAGAGTGAAAATGCGTGGGCATCCAGCCCTCAGGCCTCTTAGCATTTCTAAGGAAAAAGGTAACACTTCAGTTTCCTGTCACTGGTGATGTGGACTAACCTGTGTGATTAGCTTTTTCCTGATAGGTAAGGCATGCTCAAGGCTTTGTATTTAGAGGTAGAGCCAGAAGTCACAGTCTGATTGAGTAAGTCATAAGAGGTTGGAAGGGGCAGTGAAAAAGAGCTGGACTAGGGTTAAGGACACCTGAGTTTGTCGTTCTGCTCTGCCATTAACTAGCTTTGTGAACATAGGGCCAACTTTCCACTCTAGGACGCAGATCCCGGCTCTGTAAAATGAGGAGACTTGAATTGGATATTCAAGGTTTTGCTACCGCCGATTTCTCTATTTCTGGATGGTCGGAATAGGGTAGAAGACTCAGAAACGGAATCGGAATGGCACAGACACACCTATAAGAACCCAAAACGGGGCAGGCAGACAGAAGGGCTGGAGGAGGAGGGTGTGAAATAGATCACCGGACTGGTTTTAGGATGGAGGGAGCCCAGAGCTGCCTCGAAATGGAGTTAATTTTCAAGGGGCATGGTATTGGCCCAGGTAACTTTGATTGGATGTGGCCAGGGCAGTAGGGGCGCCCGCTCAAGCTCTCAAAACGGACCCGGCCCCCTTTCCAGCAAATCACAGCCTTCCTCCCCATAATGCCCAGCAGCCACTGCCAAACCGCGCACTGCAACCGAACTCTACCTAACTCCACCCTAGCCATCGCCCAGCATAATTTCTCATTTTTTATTGGATTTTCCAACTGTCACTCAGAGAGTCCTCGTATCCGTTGGTTGTTCCCTGCCTACTCTTTTCTTTTCCCTGTAACCTCGCCTCTTTAGGCACTATCCGCCTCCCGAAGCCAATTTCCTTCCTTCGATTGGAGAACTGGAATGCCACTTTTCGCAGTGCAAAGCTATGATTGGCTGTGCGCGGCAGGGCTCGCGCAGTTACTAGGCAGCGGGCTAGACTGAGGCTAGTTACCACGTCAGTGAGCTGACAGGGAAGGTAGCCGGCTCCACCGCCCGTCCCGGCCGACTCATCCCCGCCGACTGTGCTTTCCCACTCTGACTTCGGCCTCAACTTCCAAGAAACGAGCTCCTTCCCTTCTCCCATCTGCCACCAGAGCGGGGAGGGCCGTTCGGAGACGCCTCCGGGGCCCGGGCTGGACATGAGCCGCGGCTGCCGGTCTTGGGACTAGGCCCCGCCATTTTGGATCCGCTGACAGGTCAGCGAAGTCCCTTCCTAGAGTTCCAGTGTCGTGAATGCCGCCCTGACATCGCGATAGAGAATAAGGGGGAGGAGTCCTTAAATTGGGCGAGCCGGGGTGGGTTAAGGACGCAGGAATCAGGAATAAAACGAAGGAAAGATTGTTGTGGGAAGGAACTGGGAGGCGTGTAGGGGGCAAAGGTCAGGCCTCTGCCGCCGGAGGGGCGATTTCAGCTCTGACATCTTGATCTCTTGCGGGTGTCCGAATCCTTCTTCCTGTTTTCTCTGGTTTAATCTAACCTTCAGCTCCTCTTTTCCGGAGCTGTATCGTAAAGAGCCCAGTACTCAAAAGCCGAAAGCAAGCCTAAGGAGTAGTTTGTATCTAGTTTTAAGGGTTGGTTTTCAGACCTTGGATGTGAGAGTCTCTCCAGGTTCTGTACAGCGCCAGCTTCTGTGTGACTCCCTTATTAATACAACTGAACTGCTTCATTAATACTGGATGATGAACTAATTCAAGCTAGACACATGTAGTCAGAAGACGTGTGGAAGTGTTGAAGCCAGCAGCTATAAGGCCTTCCTCTTCCAGGGCAGCTCAACTGCCAGTCTGTGTCTGTATGTAAACACTGGACTTATCTTCTGGGCCTGTTTCTTTCTTTATACAATCTTTTACAGGTATTCTCTTCTGGTGTATGTTTTTGGTTGGCATTCTCTGTATCTCCCCGCCTTCCCCCCACTTTCCCAGGTCTTCACCTGGCCTAAGTAGCTGAAGTTTAATAACAAGGAAGCCACTCTAGGATGACATATTTGACCAAGAGCAGAGAGGGATTTGAATACTGGCAAAGTTTGGTACTGTGCCCTATTATTTTTAGTGGGTAAAAAGAGCCACGAGAGATGTTTAGCCAACTGTGGTAGGGTCAGTGCAGCAATAAATGATGGAACATAATTCCCAAACCCCAAAGTTTGTGGTACAGTGATAACCTTTGATAAACTGCTGTGTTGTAGAACTGTAAAAGTCCACCAAGAGTAAAGAGTGCTTTGGGAAATGAGGAATAGTGTGGATAGTGTTTTTTTAATGCACAATATAGAAACTTGTATGCCTTAAATTCAGTTTTACAAGGCACTCCTCTTGGCTCTGTGGAGGATATAAATGGAAAGGTCTGCTTTGGGATTGCTCAGGTTATGTACTTCTTAAAAGTAGTAGTATGTATGTGTAGTGGCCTAGTTAAAGCGTATAGTAAGGTTAAAAGCAGGATCAACCTAATGCCTTTTGGTATGTAAGTGGGCACTCAATAAATGTTATCTGTACCTGGTATGAGTTTTAATATGTAATGAAGACTTGTGGCCTAGCTCTGGCCCTGGTAGTCAGGACACTGCACTTTTGCATGCTGAGGTAGTAACAAGGAGGATCGAAACCTCAGTGTTAGAAGGGAAGACTATCTAGGATCTTAGAGTGTCTGACTCAGTTTCTCCTACCTAATGCCCTTTTCCCTGCTGAAATTCTCTGTGTGTGTATGTTGGGAGGAGGAGGGATAGCGTTTATGCTTTACATGTATTGATTTAAAATAAGTGGGATGGAAATGGTATAGGTGACTATTTGTATTTTAACTTGCTGATGTAAGTTGCAGAATTTCTGAAAAAGTAGATGAAAGTGGCAAATGAATTAAGTAGTCAGCCCAGGAAGTACTCAGATTTCGTGGGCCTGCCTCGCTCATCTGGGTCATTTCCCTGTTGAGTTGATATGCCTTGCATAATAGGCAATCAGGTCTCTGCATAGATAGTGTGACCAATCCAGCATCTTTTCAATTGGGACTGAGGGTGACTATACAGGCATCAAACTTAAAAACTTTTTGTCTTTCCTTAAAAAGTCATTTTCTAGATAGGAATAATTCTAGATAGAAATAACTTTCTAGGTAGGAATAATTCCCACCCCCACCCACAAATCAGGAAATTTGTCCTTCCTTCAAGACTTGTACTTGAGCTTCTTTTAAACGGTGGCTGTAGACAGATTGTATGTTCTAATCTTGACAGTAATGCTTGTTGGCACAGTGGGAACTCAGGTTATAGACACATCTCTTTGGTAGCTTGACATGAATCCCAGTTACAGCTCACAGTTCTCAGAGGTCCATTACTATTTCACTTTCCTATGTTCCAGAAGTCAGGATGACTGCCACTTTTAAATAATAACTTCATTGATAGGGTATTTAGACTGGCTCCTGTGGGCAACTGGAAAGGAAGAAGACAAAACTCTTGCTTTTGAGGAGACTCTATTTATAGAGTACTCACTGGAAAGATCATCTTAGCCTTTGTACACCACTTTAATTGATTGATCACACTCTATCCCTGTGGTTCAGTGTGACTGATTAGAATGACTCTCTTGTTGGGGTAATATGGGACTGGAAGAGCTGTGTAAATGTAATAGGCTGCTGTTCAGCTTTTATTTTTCCTTTTTTTCTATATTTCAGTATGTTCAGCTGCAGTTGTTTAATTAAATGAAAATATAATAGAGCAGTGTGCTGATTTGGAGCCCCAGTAGTAGTGGAAGTGATCATAGAATCAATAGTATTGAGAAGAAATTTGACAATAAAAAAAGAAGGAATAGTAGTATAAATGATCATGGAAGTATGATGGCAAAGAAATGATTTGCCATCATATAAAGCAAGGGTTACAAGCTCATATGCCTAAGTATTAGGTAGGTAATGTAAATTAGTGAAGTGAATCAGGTGGGAATATATTAGGATATATTGGGGAATATGGTATACTGGAGAACCCATGCCCTTATTTAAAGGAGGCAGCTGCTACTTTTTTAGTGATTGCTACTGTTTGAGAATGGGCACAGAATGACCAATATTCTATTGTTCAGGAGAAGCTAGAAATCCAGATCATTGTGTTTTTTAATTGTTGGCAACTAATTAATTTTTTTAAACCTTTTGCAGGCCAAATAAAATATGTCTGTGGGCTGGTTTCTGCCCAGTGGCACTCAATGATGAGCCCCTGATATATAATATTGGCAGGCTTTATGAGACTTAATCACAGCAGTTCTCTATGCATAATCACACAGACTGACTTTTTTTCTTTGCTTTACTCTGCCAACTGTCACCCTTATACCTTGGGTGCCCTGAGTGGTTAAAAGATGAGTGAAAGAGAGAAGCGTTGTTTCATTTTTCATCTCCAGCCGGCAGAAGGGACATCTTTGGACATATCAGTGGCTTACCTTGCATATAGTTCTTGAGAAGTCTCAGAATCTTCACAGAGGGAGGGGATGGTGTGGCAGAGCTGAGGTACACTGGTCACCTGAATATCGGGTTTGGGGTGATTTTCCAATTGTGTCCTGTCTGGACACCAGCTTTTTTCCTAGATTGACTTTCTCTTATCTCCACCTTTGAGTAAATTTCTTGAGCCCACTAGTTTGTTTACTGGTTCAGTAATTCTTGGTCATACTCAATAAAGCACAGAACTATGGTGTGTTCCTTGGCCAGCTCTGGGAACGTTATGAGCTCTGCATCTTTAGTGTTTCTTTGAGCTCTTCAAGAGATTGAGCGAATATAAACTGTAGAAAGGCCCATGTGGGGTCATTCAACTCTCTGGTACCATCTACCTTCTCAGAAAGCCCATCAGAGTTTTCTTGGTTTGCACAGTTCTTTACTAGACACCGAGGCATTATGAAAAAAAAAAACTGAGTCTTTGCCTTTGGAGAATCTATTTACTAATTGGATATGTACTTTTATTTATTTTATTTTATTTATTTATTTATTCTTTTTTTTAAAAGATGACCGGTAAGGGGATACTAACCCTTGACTTGGTGTTGTCAGCACCACGCTCAGCCAGTGAGCAAACCGGCCATCCCTATATGGGATCCGAACCCGGGGCCTTGGTGTTATCAGCACCACACTCTCCCGAGTTGGGCCACGGGCCGGCCCAAGATATGGACTAAAACAGTTAAGAAAAGGGCCGGCCCGTGGCCCAACTCGGGAGAGTGTGGTGCTGATAACACCAAGGCCCCGGGTTCGGATCCCATATAGGGATGGCCGGTTTGCTCACTGGCTGAGCGTGGTGCTGACAACACCAAGTCAAGGGTTAATATCCCCTAACCGGTCATCTTTTAGAAAAAAATAAATAAATAAAAATAAAAACCGTTAAGAAAACAATAACTTAAACAATGGGGTACTAATAACAGCTATTTAGAACCAAAGAAAATAAGACACACGTATATGAAGAATTGACAATTACATAAAGAATTATGTGTTTTGCAGAAGAAATGTGAATATAGAAACAGAACTTGAGGAGATATCAGGAAGATAGATGTGAAAATGGAAGCCTTATGATTTGGCTGGTGGGTAAATGTAGATTTGTTTTGTCTGTAGGGTGGCCTGTATGAAAGGTTTATAACTTCTGGTAGAGAAACAAATGTGGGATACAGAAAGAAGGTTTGCCTACCTGGCTTAGAGTCATTGTCTTCTGTGAAGTCATTGTTCTCATAAGAGGCAGCTGTGAGCTGCACCAGTATTAAAGAGTCATTCTTGATGTCAGTTAATTCTTTTATTCATTCAGTATTTATTGATCATTTTTCTTTCTGTGTGTCAGGCATTTAGATATTTACCAGCCACTTGGTCCACGTTTTTACCAGCTCTTAGTATTGTAAGATTTAAAATGGAATTAAGACATAATACAGTGGCTGGCCAGTTTGCTCACTTGGGAGGGTATGGTGCTGATAACACCAAGGTCAAGGGTTCGGATTCCAATACCAACCGCCCCCCCCCCAAAAAAAAGATAATACAAATCTTTCCATGAACTTTTCGAAGACCCCTCGTATGTATATATACGTATATTTATGTATACAGAGAATGGATTTTGATCAAATGTTGGGTTGATTACTTTCAGTTGAGATCTCAGTTCAAAATTTATTTCCTCCAGGAAGCCTACCAAGTAACGTGTAGATCCTGTTAGAAATCATTTAGTCCCATTGGTGCTTTTGTTTGCTTTGTAATATAGTTATTGTTTTGCTTTTTTCTTTTTAAAAATTTTTTATTTCTATTTTTGTTGTTGTTGTTGCTATGTTGTTTTCAATTGGGTATGTTTTTTCTTATTCTCCTAGTTTTTTAAATGTATTTATTTATAGAAAAGAATTTATTTTTTAATTGAGAAGTATTGATTGTACATATCTTGGGGTTACGTAGTGATATTTCAATACATGTATACTACAATGTGCGGTGGTCAAATCAGGGTAGTTAGCATCTCAAAAATTTATCATTTCTTTGTGATGAGAACATTTGAGCTCCTCTCTTCTATCCATTTGACACCATACAATAAATTATAGATGCCTAGCACTGCTGTACGGCACTGACACTTATTTTTCTTATCTAGCTGTATCTCCTAGTTCTTTGAAGGAGAAATGAATCGTTCTTATTTATATTCTTATTCTTTACAGTGTCCTTTTCTAGGCCCCCAAATATTTTTTACAATGATGAGTATTCATAAAATATACACTGAATATATACTAAGTAATAACTATATTGAAGGTCCTCCATGATATGCCCCCCACTTGCTTTTCTAGCTTTACCTCCCATTATTCCACAAGGAATAATGTTCCAGCCCATCTGGAATAAGCATGATCTCCTAGATCATACTAAATTTTCCATTAAAGCCTTCTCTTTGCCATTCCCTCCTTATATTTTTGACTTTTGAATCCTGTCTGTCAGTTGTCTTTCTAGGGCGCTTCACCAGAAACAATTTTCTCAGCTTCACTACTGTAATACTGTGTACTATCATGTATTGGAGATATATATCCATTTATGTGCATGTATTTGTTTTTTTTTTTTTCCTTTTTGTCTTTTTTACTGACCGGTAACGGGATCGCAACCCTCGGTGTTGCGCCCACACCGTGCTCAACCAGTGAGAGGGAACCGGTCTCCACATGGGATCCGAACCCTCGGTGGGAGCGCCACCGTGCTCCCAAGCGGCGCACTCTCCAGTGTGCCACCAGGCCGGCCCATATATTTGTTTTTATCTAATTCAATAGATTATAAATTACTTTCAAAATGGAGAGTGAGTGGGTGGGTGAGGACATCTCTATGACTCTGCCTAGTTTGCTTAGCATGTGCTAAGTAATGTCTGATTGACTGAATGAAGTAAATGTTTGTTAGTTAATTAGCTTGATTACTGCTCTTAATCATTTGCACATGGAATAATACAACCACTTTTCCAAAGAGTTTATTCATTTTTTAAAAATCAGTAAATTAAAATTTAAAAATAGGTAATCAGTAATATATGTTTGTGACACAAAATTCAAAAGATACAATAAAATATACAGAGAAAAATGTCTTCCTTTCACCACTGTTCACAGTTACCCAGTTCCCCAGTCACCCAGTTCCTTTCTCTAGAGGAAACTTCTGTTAGCTGTTTCTTACAAATTCTTCCAGAGACCTAGAGTATATTTATCTTGCCTACATAATTTAAGGAAGAACAGATACTAGGAGAGATTTTATCTTTTCTGATATTTTTTAAAATTGTTTTTGAATTTGCTCATCTATTTTCACCTGGGAAGAGAATTAAATGTCCTTTCTAAGTGCTGTTCTAGGCAGCAAAGAAAATCCTGTGGTAGGTCAGTTGGGATCACTTAAAATAGTAAAATAGTATTTCAGCTTCACTTCAGAGATTCATATACACTCAGCATTAAAAAATGTCTACTTACAGCTTACAGTCTTTCTTTTTGGTGGCTGGCTAGTATGGGGATCCAAACCATTCACCTTGGTGTTATCAGTTCCATGCTCTTCCAAGTGAGATAACCGGCCAGACCTTAGTCCTCTTATTAGAGATTTTCTGCTATCAGTAAGTGAACGTGAGTTTTCAGAACTTTTCAAAGATATCACTGCCACTGTCCAATTTTCTGGAGCTGACATGCAGAATGGATGCAGTCTTTAAGTTCACATTGTAGCTGTGATTCCAAACCAAGGCTATTCTAACAACTTTCATTCTTTTCTTTTAATTTCAACCTTCATTTTTACTTTATTGAGTAGATTTTTAAAAAGAACAAAGGGAAGATTTGAAATACTGTTTTTAACAAACTACCATTATAGATACTTAAAGGTATCATAGGACTTTGGAAATAATTGACTTTGAAGAATATGAAATACTTGGTAGAGATTGTTGAGGTATCTTTGGAAAATTTTCTGGATTGATGCTTTTTGAGTTGTATCTTGAACTGCCCTGAACTTCCAGAGACCTTTAGGAGAGCCAGGCAGTTGGATTTGCAACATAAGATGGAATTCATCTCATCTTAGTATTACAGGTGGAAAATCTTGGTACTGAAAAGTTAAATGAAAATTCTAACCTCATAAGTTACTGATTTAAGCATGGATATGCTCTGGGTAACCAAATATTAACCAGACTTTTCTCCTAATTGTTTTGGTAGGTTTGCCAGGATGGTGGATAAGAATATTTACATCATTCAAGGGGAGATTAACATTGTGGTGGGTGCTATAAAACGAAATGCCAGATGGAGCACCCATACACCATTGGTAAGTCAGGAATGGGCAGATAGCCTGGTCATTGAATTGTTGTAGGGGATCTTGTACATGGTTAAAACAGTAATTGAGTTCCCAGTAATAATGAGAATAGCAGGAATTCAGACTTGTTCTTGGTATCAAAGACCTTTCTGTTTTATTAAACATAGCATCAAATTTACATGCATATTCTTTCTCTGGGACCCCAAAAGTGGCACTATTCTTCTAGGTATTTTGTAAACAACTTACACTAGTACTTGGGAGCTCTTTAGTATGACTAAAAGTGTCACAAAGATTTATTATCTTCTAATTACCTGGGGCTATAATTAGCTATCAAATTGATTTAAATTAGTTTAATTATTGATACATAGAGTATGGCTTGGTGATGGTACTCTTTGGGGGTTCAGGAAACTTCCATATGTAGAACAGGCCATATCTTGCCAATCAGATGAGTAAGAAACTTACCTGTTATAAAGTTGGCTTTCTTTGTTGCATATGTATATTCAAGGATAATTTTTGTAAGATTGTATAGAGCAATTTTTGGTACAATCATAAAAATAAGTTTAGAAATTTCCAATGTGGTGAGTGTATATAAACATATTTGGTGAGTGTGTTTGGAAATTTCTCATGTTCGTTTATAAAAATGGATTGGTTTAGAAGAGAGGATGGAGTTAGGAATGTCCTTGAAATGAATATTTATGATCACATAGTGAGTATTAAGAAGGAGAGGAGACAATAATACACATATAAAGGATGTAGCAATTTATGGTAACTTGAGTGCTATGGTGATTAGCACTTCAGGATTCACTATTGTAGGTAAACCCAAAATATCTCTGTGAAATAAGAAATTAAGGAACAGGAAAATATGAACCATGAGCCGGCCCGTGGCTCACTCGGGAGAGTGCGGTGCTGATAAAACCAAGGCCACGGGTTCGGATCCTATATAGGGATGGCCGGTTGGCTCACTAGCTGAGCGTGGTGTTGACAACACCAAGCCAAGGGTTGAGATCCCCTTACCGGTCATCTTTTAAGAAAAAAAAAAAAAGGAAAATATGAACCATGACTAACTTTCTTTTGCTCAGAGGAAAACTTACTTTTCTGGTTGGATTCAGAGAAAGAGCCTTGATCTATCCTTTATTTTAGTTTTCCTCTATTCGCCCAATAATCACTTATTTTTAACCTATGTATTCTACAGGATGAAGAACGGGATCCTCTGCTGCATAGTTTTGGTCATCTAAAGGAGGTTTTAAACAATACAACAGGTAAGTCTCCATACCTAGGTAGGATTACTTATCCTTGTTAAAAAAAAAAAATGTATTTTTTTAATTGCAGGAATGGACAAACTTTATTTGTGAAGGACCATATAAGTAAATATTTTAGACTTTGTGGGCCATGTGCAACTATGCAACTACTCAACTCTGCCTTTGTAGCTCAAAAGCAGCCATAGATAATACATAAATGAATGAACAATATATATGTTCTATTTTAAAAATATGTATATGTATATATATATTCTTTAAAAAAACAAATCTGCAAGCCAGATTTGGCCCATGAGTAGTTTGCCAACCCCTGGTTTATTGCATTGCTTTTAGTCTTCATGAGGTTTAATTCTTCAAGTGTTCCAGGAATCTTTTGTCCCTTTGTTTTCCCCCTATTTTCCTAATCATAATAACCTTATATAATATTCATGTGTAGAATTTTCAAAGCTACTTTCACACTTTTTATTGAACTTTTACACAACCCTGTGAGGGGGGCTGGCGGATATTGTTCCCCTTTTATGAAAGAAGTTGAAGCCCAGAGAGGTTTAAAAATGGTTTAGCTGAGGTCATACTGATCCTAAAAGGTAGATTCAAAACTAGAAATCAGGTCTCTGATGCTTGGTTTAGTGTTCTTTCCCCTGTTCTGTATTGCTTCATACATACAATTAGAGGAGAATGTACACATGAAGTGCCTTATATCGTATGTATATATACATGGCAAGGAAGGAAGAAAATGTTAATACCGATGAGTTTTTTTTTTTTAAAGATGACCGGTCAGGGGATCTTAACCCTTGACTTGTTGTTGTTGGCACCATGCTCAGCCAGTGAGCGAACCGGTCATCCCTATATAGGATCCGAACCCATGGCCTTGGTGTTATCAGCACTGCACTCTCCGGAGTGAGCCATGGGCCGGCCCTACGATGAGTTTTTCAAGGGGGTAGATGTAGACTGAAAGAGAAAGCCTCAGAGCTGTGTTCCTCTGTTGACTGTGAAGGGTTCTTGCATTGTTTAACCCTGGAACGCTTTTAGCTACTGACACACGTCAGACTGTAATTGAATACTGTTAGGCTTCTACAAATTAAATAATAAAAAAGTTTTCTCCTTTCATGAGAAACGTGGGAGAAAATCTGGAGAAAAATTTCTTTTTTTTTTTTTTTAAATATGACCGGTAAGGGGATCTTAACCCTTGACTTGGTGTTGTCAGCACCACGCTCAGCCAGTGAGCGAACCGGCCATCCCTATATGGGATCCGAACCCGTGGCCTTGGTGTTATCAGCACCGCACTCTACCAAGTGAGCCACAGGCCGGCCCCCTACATTTTTTCTTTAAAGGAGCGATTTCACTCAATTGATAAAGCTTTGGAAATGTTAGCCAAGAAGGATCAAGTATAGAAGAAGTGATTGTTAGGTTGATGCTGCTACTACGTGGCATGTTATTATTTTATGGCCTGTAACTGTAAGTTGGCTACTTTAGAAAGTTGGCTATGTGCACACATTTTTTTTTATGTTTTTATTTTACACATAAAGCTTACATATCCCAATTAGAAAGAAAATATAGTGAGTAGAGATTTACAATTTTTTTGGTGGGCTAGAATTCAGAGTACTGTCTTCCTAAGAAATATTGAGGATTAAACAAGTTAATATAATTAGAAACACTTGATAATCATTTTATACACAGTGAAGGATCATTGTTATATGTGGTTGGGAACACCCTAAAATGGCTAAGATCAGTCTGGAGTAGCCTTGTAGGCCTTTTGGGCACTCTGCAAACCTTGAGGAGCTGAGGTGGTGTTGCTATCCTGACAGAGGCACGTTTCCTGTCTACCAGCCAACCCAGATCCCATGCCTGTTTTGTCCATCCTGACATGTCCTAAGATTCCAGCTCAGATACCATTACCTGTGGTGAGTGATATAGTCCAGGACTTGGGGTCTCTAGACCATTTAAGAGCTGTCAAAGTTGTCTGCTGCCTAATTTTCCTATATCCTTGGGTTAGGAATCCAGCCAGATTATCTGCTTCTTAGACCTAATAAAACCAGAATGTGTTAAAAAGCCAGTTCTGTCAGTGGTATTAAGAACATAGTTGGGTGTTGCTAAGCTTTTCTATGGGATGACGAGAAAGGTAGTAGTGTTTTCCAAGGCCAACAGCTGTGGCAGATGTTAAAATGGTGCCTTCCAAGGTTGTCCTATTGTCCTTGGGTTTTAGCATATTACCTGCCTGAGAAAATGGCAGAGTGGACCAAAACAGAACATTTCATGGCCTTCAGATTAGTTCTGACCCCCCACACAGTGCTGGCTCCTAGGAGCAGGTTTATGGGTCAGCTGCCCCTGTGGTCCTGGATTCTGCAATCCATGACCAATTTCTTGTTTCTCTTACTGAAACAAACAGATTTTTCTGATTGGCAGTGTCAGGAGGACTGCTTTCCTGGAAGCCTGTTAATGGGAGGAGGCTGGGAAAGGGTTTTGAACTTGGAAAGAGAAACTGAAGTGACTGCCCGTGTTATGAGACTAGTTATGGTTTACCACTTAGATTTGAGGAGGGATGGTGGGAATTCTAGGACTTCTACCCAATTTAACTCATGAAACTGATTTGGGTGTGGTCCTTTTTGCAAAAACATTCTGGTTTTGTTTTGTTTTGTTTTTCTTTTTTTGCTGGTCAGTACAAGGATTGAACCCTGGACCTTGGTGTTATCAGTACCATACTCTAACCAAGTGAACTAACAGGCCGGTTCGCAAAGACTTTCTGATTGCATTTTTTTAGACTATCTGCTGACTTGGTTGGTAAGAATATCACTGTTGGAAATGGGTGGTTCATTGGACGTTGTCCGTAAACTAAAATGAGTTCTTTGTCTTTTCTTGCAAACAGTCAGAGGATCTTTTAAGTACATAAGCACTACCTACTTCTCCAGGAGTATTATCTGATCATTGTGAAGGAAATATGTCCATTGTCTCCAATAAGGTTGGCTAAGTCTGTGCTAGTTATTCTCACAGATTTGTGTCTTTGAACCACATTTTCAGTCAGTATTTGCTCAAACTGCATGATGACTGCATGCTCTGTAGCATTTAGAGTAATAGAATATTCTAATACTAAATCTGGAGAGAGCTTTGCACTTGGAAGAAAAAGGGTGTCCAAGAGCAAACTTTGCATATTCTTACTTTGGATAAAGCCTTAGCTTGCAACCAATGAGATAGACTTGACTGCTCCCCTTGATTTGGTCTTGAAGTCCTCATAGGAATCCTTTTAGAAGGATTTAAAGCAGGAGGAGTTTAAACAGAGGCTCTGTGTGGTTGCCAGAGGCTGGGAGCAGGCATAGGTAGTGACTGCTAAGGGGTACAGGGTTTCTTTTTGGGGTGATGAAAATGTTCTGGAATTAGATAGTGTTGGTTGCACAACTTTGTGAATATACAAGAAACCACTAAATTGTACACTTTAAAAGGGTAAATTTTATGGTATGTGAATCATATCTCAATTTTTTAAAAAAAGCAAATGTAGACTGCAAAAGTGTTGGATTCACCAGTTCTTTCTCAGGGCTCAGAGCTGTGGAGAGAAGCCTCTGAATGTAGTTGCTGCTGTGCTTTGGACCCATTGCCCAGCAAAGGCAGCACAAGGCTCTTTTCAGCCTTCTGGCCCAGGTTGTCCTTTTATGTCTCTCTCATTAACTCAAGGAAGCACATGGCTTTTATATTTAAATTTATTCAAGCTGTAATCTTTGACATTTGAGTTAGCTTTTAGTACAGTTTTGCATTTATAGTAATATATATTATGTATTTTCTCTATCCCCAAAGAATCCGTTTTAATCTTTTCCGGATGCAAATTTCAGGCTGTCTTGTCCCATCTCCCCTCTCTTGCTCTCTTTCCCCTCCCCCCACGGAGTGTGTTTGATCAGGTGTGGCAGAAATATCCACTGTCAAGCTGCGCCCTTTATATTAGTCAATATTATCCTTCTCCCCCCTCCTTGTCTGTCTGCCCCTTTGGACTTTCCCAGTTGATTTATAATTTTGGAATTCTCATCGGAATCTGTAATACAGTTTGTTCATTATTTAACCAAAACCTGTTTAATGAGCAGAGAGAGGCAATGTAAATGTTAGGCATGTTGCAGTGATGTACCTTTGTGCTTCTCAAAGCGGGTGGGTAGTTAACTCTGTGCTGCCCGTAGGGCTGGGTTGTCCTGGCCCTAGGGGCAGTAGGGCTACTGCCTCTCCCTTACATCTGCCTAAGCCCTATCATTGGTTTAGATTCCAAAGACACTTTTCCTTTTATACCTCAGCAATCTTGTAGGGCTCTTGCCCTAAAAGATGCTAGAGTTGTCTTCAGTCTCATAGCTAGACCCTGTGTGATACGGGCATGGAAAGGAAAGTGAAATACTAGGATATTTGATACTGCTCTTGATTCTACATCTGAAAAGAGTAGACAGTTTAGAAGAATGCTTCTAGCCAACATGATCTGTGGTCTTTGATCCCTTTGTTCCCCTACTAGATTAGTCTTTGCAAGCCTTAGTACCCTTCATCCAATATAGCTTTACGGAAAGGGCTCTAGCCAGTTGTGATTTGTGATGTTTGGCTGTGGTCATTTGCCTTCAGATTTAGGCTGCCTTTGTCCTTGGTGTTTAAACTTAGGTTATTACACAGAGAATCTTTTCCAGAAGATATCTGATTTAAAGCAGGAAGAGAGGAATAGCCTAAAAGTATCACAACCAAAATCTTCTCTTTCAGGATCATCTCTTAGTGATTTTAAAGCCTTCAGGGCAAGGGCTTGAGGAAGACTTCTTAGTGGGATGTGTATATGTGTGTGTGGGTGTCATGTATGTGTGTGGGGTGGTCTTGGGGATTTTGCCTTTAGAGATTTATTTTTTCTTTTTTTGGCAGCTGGCCAGTATAGGCATCTGAACCCTTGACCTTGGTGATATCAGCACCACACTATACCAAGTGACCTCACCAGCCAAACCTTTGCTTTTGGAGATTTAATTCCAGGCCTTTTTAGTTCTGAGGACCTAATGTGCAGTTTAGATTATCAG